AAGCAGCACAACACAGTGTAAGCAAGGGCAACCAGGAGTCTTTGTGTTTGTCAGTTTATCTATCTGCCTCAGCCAAACCATTGTGCTTCTTCTGACCTTTAGCCTGATTCGTGTTACAGATAGAATGAGTGGGGGAATATATTGCTCCTTTGCTCTTCAATTAAGACAACAGATGTCAAGCAAAGTCATTTTGTTTCCTGACTTTTCATACCTGAGTTCTGCTTTTAATATTTATGCCCCTACTGATTACAAGGCAGAAAGCAGAGAAAAATCAACAGCAATCCAAGGCCTATTAAAGTGGTTCTCATTCTCAAAAAGGATATCTTTCAAATGCTCTGTATTAACATTTTTTTTTCTGTTATGTGCTTTATTTTCAATTACATTTCAGAAAGAAAATCAACTCGTCGGGTGATACATAGTGCAGACAAATTCACATTATTTCACATTTTGTGGAGATACTGACTTAATGGCTGAGGTGGAAGGAATTTCATCTTTCAGCTACCAAATCTCAGAAGCAAAATGTTTTTACTATTTCCTCACTGAGTAGTTTAAGCTACAGCCCAGTACGTGATGAGACAGAATACACCTGGAAAAATACCTATGCATTCATTTATTCAAGTTGTCATTGCATTTTGGACCTCACATCCAACACATCAGAATGCCTGACCATAAATTCTGGTCTAAGAATTGCATTACAAATCACTGAACTTCAGGCTTTCATACCCTCACATTTGTTCTTTCCCTACACCACTTTAGCTGCTTGCGCTTTTCTTCATCTGTAAGGAACTGGAAACTTGTATGATTTTCTTGCTCAAGTAAAAAGTACAGTGGTATAAATTCAGCTTTTTTTTTTTTTTTTTTTTTTTTTTTTTTTACATTAAATAGAAGCATAATGAATAGGAATTAGTTCTCTTTACTCCATCAAGTAGTCAATTAACTCAAATTTGCTCAGAATGTAAAATGATTCCTTTCCTGAATCTTGCACTTGACAGCATAATTTCTCCTATATCTCCACCTGCTCTCTCTTCCACATCTATTTGCTCTGACTTTACATTTCAGAGAAGAGGAATGGATGCAGCAATAAGAAGATTTCTAAGATCCCTGGAATTAACACCTGTGAGGTTGTGTGTCAGTTGAAGGGTATAAAACTTTTCTTTCCTCAGATAATAATAATTAAAAAAGGACCTATAAAGGCTAAATGATGACTGGCTAGTCAAGAAAAATGAGTAGAAAAAAGTGGTCTCTTGCCTCTATATCCACTTTCTCCTTGTGATGACTGAAATATAGCATCCTCCAAAACAGATGTCCTTCTCTTAATCTTCTTCACATTTCTGTTGCTCCTTCTCTTTCTTATCCAAGTCTCTTTTAACTATTTTTTTTTTTTTTACTTTTTAAAATAAAAACAAGCAAACCCAACTTCCTTTCATTTTCTACCTATTTGCTTCCTTAATGCCTTATGTGTAATCCCCTGTGGTCTTCAACTCCCCCACTATTTTTCTTTCAGGAAGCTTGTTTGTAGGGACTACTCCAATAAGATGTGTGGACTAAAAGGTAATGGATTCTGCAGCAGTGGGCTCTACTCATTTGGGCACACAAAAATATCCCCACTATTATTATTTTTTTTTTAATATATATATATATTTTAAATTCTGTCTGAAGAAAACTGATGCGATCAGATGATCAGAGAGCTGGAACATCTCCCCTGTGAAGAAGGGGTGAGGGAGTTGGGCTTGTTTAGCTTGGAGAAGAGAAGGCTCTGGGGAAACGTCACAGTGACATTCTAGTACTCAAAGGGAGCTTACAGAAAGGAGGGAAATTGACATTTTACACAGGCAGATAGTGATAGTCAAGGGGGAACATAATTAAACTAAAAAAGGGGAGATTTAGATTAGATGTTAGAGGAGAAATTTACACTCAGAGGGTGAAGAGGCACTGGAACATGCTGCCCAGAGAAGTTGTGGTGTTGTACTTGATGATCGCCAAGCCATTCTATAGTGGCTTCCCTGTATTTTTTTTTCTCTCTTCTTTTCCAATTTTCCCATTTCCCTTTTTCCTACACTTTCTTTCCTTTTTTCCCTTTCTTTTATTTTTGAAGATATTCTATGTTTTATCACAGCCACTTCCAGTTTAGAGTCTTTTTAGTCCTTGGAGTTCAGTCAGTTTTTGTCTCCCAGGAGAATTACAATAAACTTACAAGCCAACATGTAAAGTAAAGACTTGGAGGTAATTTGAATGAAACGCTTTCACAAGCTCACCCAAAATGAGAAGGTTGGTTTGGCTTTCCATGTGCTTTTAGAGCTGGTTATGAAGTAGCCCAAGCTCATTAGTTCTGCTAGGTATATCAAATGGGTTTCTGTATCTTTCCTGACAAGTTGTGAGTGTCTCTAGTTCTCAACAGTAAAAAACATAACAGGAGTGAACATTTGTAATATGATACAGTGTTCCTCTACCATTGATAGCATTTTTCCATTTGTTGCCAAAAGGACTGTTTTGAAAGTGAATTTTTGCAGTGAATAGAAGTGACATCCTCCAAAGACATGAGATGGAAAAAGTACTTTATGGAATTACAATGGCAAGAAATATTAATAAAATAAAACAAAAACACATGTAGCAGGGCTTTGAGAGATTTAGACAAAACTCAATCACATTTATTTATTTATCTATTTATTTATTTATTTATTTATTTATTACAAATAAATGGATTTATAGTCTGAGGGGGAAAAAAAATTTAAAAAAAAAAAAAAAGGTAACAGCATACCCTAGTGCAGTTTGTCCTAAATGAAGTATATATATATAATTGAAAACTATAAAAGTATTTTGTATCATTTTTTTAATTGCTCATAAAGTTTCCCTGCTTTGAAACTGATAGAAAAAAAGTACTGATAATGTGTTGGTTTTTTTTTTTAATTACTATTTTCTTCTGCACCATTTTATTAATATTATTCATCAGATTGTACCAAAAATGTAATGAGAAAACTGGTGATAGGATGTTGGAGTGGTGCTGGGAAACATCCCATCACTTTCGGTAAATATACATCCAATGGACAATACAAAGACTTCTAAAAAGAGCTAAACTATCAAAAATGAAACACAGGAACCACAAATGAAATATTTCAGCTTTTCACAATCTCACTCCACTTTTGCTGAAGTAGTTCCAAATCTACATATTTAAATAATCATGTCAGTCAGACCCACACTATCATTTCTTATTTTTTATTGTTTTACTAAATGCAGAATTTCTAAAATAAATAAATAAATAAATAAAAAGTAGTCCAAAAAGCATACACGTAAAATGCTTAGGAGGCAGTTTTCCACTCAGAGGGTAGTGATGCACTGGAACGGGTTGCTCAAGGAGGCTGTGGATATCCCATCCCTGGAGGCATTCAAGGATTCAAGGCCAGGCTAGATGTGGCTCTGGGCAGCCTGGTCTAGAAGTTGGTGACCCTGCACATAGCAGGGAGTGTAGAAGCAAGATGATCATTGTGATCCTTTTCAACCCAGGTCATTCTATGATTCTATGATCTCGAGAAAGGTAGGAGGCAATTGGGTGAGGCCAGGCTCTTCTCAATGGTGTGTAGTGATAACACAAGCAGTAATGGCCAAAAACTTGTACATAGCAAGTTCCGTGATCGAGCACTGGAACAGGTTGCCCAGAGAGGTTGTGGAGACTCATCCTATGGAGACAGTCAAGACAAATCAGGACGGCTAGCTGGGCGACCTGTCACAGGGCTCAGTGCACAGAATACTGACTGAGCCATAAGCAAGTGTTAGTAGCATTGAAGGAGTTGTATCTGAGTGTTGCAGACAGGCTCTCTCAAGGCAAAGGCTTGATCTGATAGC